ACATGCTCCTCAAAGTTCAACAAACTATACGATGTTATCTAAGATATGTCTAAATCTGCCCCAGTTTGACTGCAGTTAAAAAAAATGTATTGATGCGTAACATGGGACCCTGAACTAAAGGCAGCTAAAGTTAGCTAAAAGTAAAGCTAAATTAGCAGGGTGACGTGATGGTGGAAGCAGCTACTTTGACCAAAACTACATTCAACCAGAGGCTAAAAGAAAGCTTTACACAGGTTATTAATCAAAACACAGTTTAGAGAAAATAACAACTACGAAGCCAAAGGTGACCGACATAGGAAGGCTACTTTGTCATTTTGACAACTGGCTAACGCCCAATGCTCCCAACGTTCATCTACAGCTTCTGTTTTAGCCATTTGTTACCAATTCTTAGGTCTAGCTAAAAAAGCGGGTAAACAATCACCGATATAAAGCCAATTAAAATTAATCAGATATCCTTACTTTAAAGTCGTTTCCACTGAGATCTACCCCCCTGATGAAGGGAAGAACTCCGGTGGCAGCCATTTCTGACTAGCTGATGTCAGCTCCTCCACCCTTAACTGTCTATTTTGGTAGGAAAGGAGGGAGGGTTGTGGCCGTTCTTCTTTCTGGTTTTGGCATCGTCTGAGGACCGCTCATTACTGCTCCAAGCGGTAAGGAGGTTCGGTGTTTAATAGATTTCGGTGACGGTGTCAATGCGCCCCCTAGTGGCAGGGTAATGAACATAATTTAAACTTCGAAAACTTAGACAACTCGTATCGTCATTTAGAGAACAAACTGTCTCATAACATAGAGCATACATGTGCCAAATTATATTTTAAAACCCATTTAAAAAAAAGTGTTACAGCTTAATTTATCAGTTTTATTGAAGTTTTAATTCTGAATTAATTAAAACCAGTAATTTTCATTTAAAATAAGTCAAAGATATGCAATATGCCTGAATATAAATGTATATTACCTAATGTTCCAAATGCTTTTTTTTTTTTTTTTTTTTACTTTTGGGTAAATAAAACCAACATTATCAAACCAGAATTACAGATTTTTATTAGGAACAAAACAAAATCCTAGCTAAGCTAAATGACCAGGACATATAATTTCATTCAGTGCAGAACCACAAGTAGCTCTATGATTCTGCAACTTTCTTAACATATTTTAACTGATAAACTATTTCACTGTTTTTTTTGTTTTTTGTTTCATACTTTTCTGGACCCACACTTATGGAGGACCAGTCCTGCCATAAATGTAATCCATTGTTGAAATAATAGCTTGAAATTGACATTAGTGAGTCATTAGGTGCACCATACTGATAAAAATGAGAAATGTAGGTAAAGACGGATACATTACTTAGATATAAATATACATATAATTTATTTTAACTGTTCTATTTTATCTCTGCTCTTTTATTCTTACAGCATTCCGGTAAAAAGCAAATGACCGAATCTTAATTGTTTCAATAAAGAATAGGAAAGACAGAGATAGAATTTTGAACAATTTTGAATTCTGACTTTCTTTCTCAGAATTCTGACTTTAATCTCAGAATTCTGGCTTTTTTCTTGGAATTCAGACTTTAATCTCCAAATTCAGACTTTAATCTCCGAATTCTGACTTTGATCTCAGAATTCAGACTTTTTTTCTAAGAAGTCTGACTTTAATCTCAGAATTCTGACTTTAATCTCGGAGTTCTGAATTTTTTCTCAGAATTCGGACTTTAATCCCAGAATTCTGATGTTTTTCTCAGAATTCTGACTTTAATCTCAGAGTTCTGAATTTTTTCTCAGAATTCTAGCTTTTTTCTCAGAATTCTGACTTTTTTCTCAGAATTCTGACTTTAATCTCGAAATTCTGAAATTGTTCTCATAATTCGGACTTTAATCTCAGAATTCTGACTTTCTTTCTCAGAATTCTGACTTTAATCTCAGAATTCTGGCTTTTTTTCTTGGAATTCAGACTTTAATCTCCAAATTCTGACTTTAATCTCAGAATTCTGACTTAAATCTCGGAGTTCTGACTTTTTTCTCAGAATTCTGACTTTGATCTCAGAATTCTGACTTTTTTCTCAGAATTTGCCCTAATTGTCCCCAATCCTCCTCCGTATGTAATTGAGTAATAAACATGAATACTTTTGACATCTCTTATCATAAATATGAAAAAGAGAGAAGATATATGAGAAGAGAGTTTGAAGACATTAAGGAGAAGGTTAATTTATTAGATATACTGAGGAAAAATTTAGGGAGTAAACACATACAATTATTCGATTTCTAAAGAAAACGAAATTATTCCATAGAATTTAATTATAGTAAGTATGTTTGTGAGTGAAGGAATGATATACAAAGATGTGCACAAATATGTTTATATTTTTAAGTGTGAATGTGTGAATGTATGTTTAGAAGAAGTTAGGGTAGAATGTATCAGGATCAATATTTACAGTTTTTCTGGATTGTTTACACACATTTCTGAAAACATGCCTCGTATTCTCAGAACTCTACACACAAATCCAACAAACACACACACAATGGGCAAAACCCTTCAATTCTCCTGCAAAATGAAACTTTACATTCAAAACAGTTTTATCTCTTCACAAAAGGCCATTTTGTGTTCAGATGACACACACAAACTATCATATGAACAGACAATTAAAAAAAGCATTTAAACACTGATGTGCTCAGTGTAAAACACCATTCTCCATTCATCATAATGACTTTTTGTTCAGTGTTACACTTACTACAGACATTAAATACATAAGTGCGTTGTAAAATATTTTAGAATATTGTTTTTATACTCAGAACACACAAATATACTGTAACAAACATGTTTTATTTTTCCCACAAAACAATGTACACAGTGTACATCCCAACTGACACAAAGTTGCACATACAGTGCAGAAGATTTTACTGTATACAGTTACAGTAATAATAAAAAAACAAAACAAAATAAACTATGCTGCATCCTCTCTTCTGTTTCGGTCTGGCCACAGCACCTCATCTACATCACAAGCAATGTTTTCCCTGGCCAAGCAGCGGGGGAAATATCGCCTAGCATGGCGAATCCAGCCATGAAAAGCATCAACTGCTATATCTCCACATGCGTCTTCCATAGCTTGGAAAAGGGGTATACGCGTTTCTGAATTTAGGTCGTACACTTTCCATCTCCAGGCAGAAAAAAATTCCTCAATAGGATTGAGGAATGGAGAATATGGAGGGAGATAAACAACTGAAAAGCGTGGGTGGTCAGTGAACCAGTTATGAACCAGAGCAGCCCGGTGGAAGCTTACGTTGTCCCAAATGACAACGTACCTGAGCTGCTCTGGGCCGTCTATCTGATCTGGTGGAATGAGTGTGTTGTGTAGGGTGTCCAGGAATGTGATCAGATGGGCAGTGTTGTAGGGGCCAAGGGTAGCATGGTGATGGATGATGCCATGGTCGGTCATCGCTGCACACATTGTGATGTTCCCTCCGCGCTGGCCAGGGACTTCAACAATGGCACGCTGGCCGATTATATTCCTTCCCCTCCTTCGTCTTTTTGTGAGGTTGAATCCAACCTCATCAATGAAGAAGAACTGGTGCTCCACTGCATCCACCTCCAGCTCAAGGACTCTCTGAAACACACATGACAATATCAGAAGTAGACATGGAGCGGTCTCTATTGTGAAGCACAATCATTATGATTACAATATAATAGAAAGAAATATGTATGATTTATACAATGTTGACAGTATGCATCAAAGGTGGGAATGTACTGTATAGGACGTACTTGCACATAGTTATATCGCAATTCTTTGACCCTTTCTGAATTGCGCTCAAATGGCACCCTGTAGACCTGCTTCATCCTCAGTTTATTTCTGTGCAAGACACGGTCCAGCGTTGATAAACTTACCCTATCAATATTTTGAAATATCTCATTGTTTTCTATTATTTTTCTTTGTATTTGCCGTAAGGTAATGGCATTATTTTCAAGAACCATGTTCATGATCTCTGTTTCCTGTTCAGGAGACAGAAGACGGCCCCGTCCACCTCTTGTTGGTAATCTTTCAGTTCTGCAATACAAAGAGTGCAATACTGTAAATACTGTGTAGGAATACATTTCCCAAATACTCGAAACACAATGTCCTACAGAACAGTCCACAGGTAATACTGTACTACTGTACTCATTGAGTACTGTATTGATATGCAGTACTGCAGTTTTGTAGTGAGAGTAGATTTCTTACCTATTCTCATTGCGGAAAGTCCGGATGATGGATGCTACAGTGTACCTGCTCAAATTTGGCTGTACTCTTTGCCCAGCCTCCCTCATTGTTAGGCCATGGTTGACCACATGGTCAACCAAAGTGGCTCGGATCTCATCAGAAATGATTGTCCTTGGCCTTCCTTGGCCTTCCTCGTCCTCGTCCTCCCCATCGTCCTCCTCTTACTCTCACTCCTCTGGCTCTGGCTCTGCCTCTGTTTACAACATTGGCCTCCATTGCTCCAAAACAGAAGAGCTCCCCTGTTGCCCTTTTATGCTAAAGCTCTGATTGCTGAGTGGAAACATGTGTGTTAGGTGTTTGCCCATATGAGGAGTCAGTGTGCATAGTAGGGAAATTAACTTTAGAGTTTTGAATAACAGTGTGTTCCTTGTGAAAACAAAAGATTTTCTTCATGACAATTGTGTGTAGAGTTTTGGAAAAAGTGTGTTTTAGAACTGCAATTTGAGTGTAAAGCAGGAATTGTGCTTGTAGTTTAGCAGAATTGGTTCAGGGGGTTGGTGCATGAGTTACATTTTGTGGTCATTGTGTTTCAAGTACCAATATTTGTGTGTAAACAATCGAGAAAAACTGTAAACCATCACGAACCACACTCCATACCAGTAAGTGGCGGTAATGCTACTAACAGTTTGTTGCCAACCGCCATAAAACTCGACAAGAAGAAGAAGAAGAAGACATCTCTTATCTTACTGTTCGTTTATTGTGAAATCTGGCTGAGGAGTGAAGTTTTCTTATGAAGGTAACAGAACGGAAGTCCGGTTAGGTAACGTGCTCTGTTAGCTCCGCCCCCTCATCTGTGTGGTTTAAAGGTCTGCGGTACCGCTAGCCTACAGTAAAGAGAAAAATAGAGAAATATTTAGAGTAATGGAGAAAAATATACCTCGATACAACGTTCAGTTGTATATTTATGACCTTTCCAGGGGAATGGCTCGCAACCTTAGTCCAATTATGTTAGGTAAGTCGGTTTGAAATAATAAGCAAGACCAAAATCGCCGAATGGAGACAAGTAATAGGAGCAAACGGTTGGGAGGAATAACGCCGTTAATTTAACTATAACTTGAGGTTTTGACATCTTTCCCGTGTAAATATGAAACAATTAAAAAATATTGAATGTTGTTTTGCTCTATGTCATCATTATGTCATCGGAACAGATAATTGTCATTGGTTTAAACGGGTTCAGAAACTGTCAAAATGGGCCTGCTGCCTCCTATCATCACCAACCGATCTCCTTGTCGTTGTTGCAGGTAAACAGCTGGATGGTATATGGTAAGTCTGCCTTCCTGAACTCTGGAACTATTGTTTCATAGCTTGGAATATCATCTACTGATTCTGGAGGCTTATGCAAAATCATCTTACTTAAAAAAAGGGTCATTTGCTATAACAAATCATTGTTGGTTGATCCTTCTCAGATATTTTCACACAGATGCAATGTTTCTGTATATTTTTGTGTGGAACTTAACCCTCTCAGGCTCAAATTAAGTTGTAGTTGCAGAAAAAAACCTGATATTTGGAGAAAAGGATCATATGAGGTAGTAATATACTACTAGAGAGAGACCTTCACATGCAATGAATTCTGGGATGTTGCAGATTTGCAACAGTGGCCAGGAGTGGTAAACTAACACTGAAGACTGAATCTGATATGAATGTTAACTTTATTTGAATGTCACAAACAAAAAATTAACAAAACAAAATTCGAAAAAAATAAATAAATAAATTCTCTCACAAAATTAGAGACAACTGTTTCTCAAACCTTTTCTCCACCGACATCTCAAAACCTCTTGAGAAGACCGTTTCTGTTAAACTGTTGCTCAAAATATAGGCAAACTAGAAGATAAAGCATGTAGCATCCATTGGTACCTGTTTGGGCAAACGTTGCGAATCCACAACATTGAAATCGAGATGCCTCTGGTGAAAAACCTAGAGGAGATAAAATCTACTAATTGGCATGTGTCTTATCTATACACATTCATGATTCATCTTATGTAGTATTGATTTCAAAATAATGGAAATTGGTAGTGATACTTACATGAAATTGGTGCTTAGAAAATCTGTTTTAGTGACACCAAGGACTCAGCCATGTTGAAAGTGAGTCAGCAGTGCTATCTGGTGAGCTGGGGAGAAACTGTTGCAAATGCACAACTAAGTCCTTCTGTTGTACTTCTGAGTAACAAAAGCTCTTAAAATATGGATGTGGAGTAATTAGCTAAGTGGCATTTAGCTGTTGCAAATCTGCAACATCTGACTGGAGAGGGTTAAATGATCATATAATTCTGTAATATGAGAAAACTTATTAATGGTTTTTCCAAAAAAGTATAAAAAAAAATGAGTGGACTTAGTTTCCAATTTTGAAGACGTTTTGCTTCCCATCAAGGAAGCTTTTTCAATTTAAAATGTCAGAAATAGCATTGAGTTCAAGGCTTTATAGAGTGGCCTTGTTTTGGCTTAGAAAACATGCAAATTGAAGCGGATGAACGGATCCACCCCTTAGAATGGGGAGTCGTTCTTTGTTAGCCTGCAACATCCAATACTGCTCTGTTAATGATTATAATATGCACAACACTTTGCTTTTGTTATATAGGGTGTTGATTATAATGGTTCAGCTCAGATTTCCACATTTTATTGAAGCCCCCCCCCCAAAAATAAAAAATAAAATAAAATAAAAGTAAGATGCCAAACCATTTAGTTGTCTGAAAAAACCTACTTCGCTTCTTCTGGTTTAGATTACTTTTTATGTATTTATTTATTTATACTTAAAACCATAAGACCTGTTTCTGCTGGATGTGCCTTGGATTTAGTTTGGTTGTTTTCTTGCAGGCACACAGCTATAGTTGCATATGGTGATGAATTCTTCTTCGGAGGGGAGGGCATCTCCAGCTGTTCACCGGTAAGATAGTTTTACTGTTAACTAGGAGCATCAGTAACTTATTAACCTATGTTTCCATTCTGTGTGTGGTGTTGAGAAGAATTAGAGTCGTAATCTAACCTAACCTTTGCTCTGTCTGTAGTTATAAACAACTTCAGAGAATTGATTGATTGATTTTTTTCCTAAGGAGTATTGACACATATCTGCCTCACTAAAAATGACACGGCCTCTTTGTCATTGACTAAAACTAATTTTTCATACACCAAAGAATAAATAAATCAACAGATTAAATAAATAAAAACTTTTTGAAACTTTAATAAATTTAAAGAATAAATCGGGAATAAATAATTACATTTATTTTTTTTATTTTGTATAAGTGCAATACTCTCTAATTAACTTTTCTGGGTCGCTTGTTTTATTTAATTCTTTATTTTATATTGTATAGTTTTAATTCTTTATTTTATTTTTCATAACTATGCTGATGTGTTGCCGTCAGAATGAGATTCACCTTTTGACTGTTTCTTTTTTTTTAGTCTTTCTGATCCTTGCATTGTCTAAATACCACCCATAAATCCAGCTTTTATATAAGATGAAGAGAGAATGGAAAACTTATTATTGTTTGTTTTGATTGTTGAACATGACCATTCCCTACTCTTGTGAATATTTCTATTCACGGTGATGATAAATAAACTCCTCCATAGCAACAAATTATTGATGTTTTCGTATCTAACAAAGTAGGTTTCAGTTTAACCCTGAAGTTGGATCAATGGGAGTTTTGTTCCCTTGGGATTTTTAGTTTTATCCATTTAATTTTGTTTTTTCTCTCTCCTAAGGGAGGGACTATGCTGGGGCCTCCAGATACGATTGTAGAGCTGGGCGAAACTGAAGTGACTGAAGAGATCTTTATGGACTATCTCTCCTCTCTTGGAGAAACCACATACAGGTCCTTAGGGCGTTTGTCCTCTCTTCCCCTCACACTGAAGCTATTTTTGTCTCACTAAAGACTTCGACTTCAGGACACAGAGTGCAGCTGACACAAATTGTACTTCTTTTTTGTTTTGTTTCTTGGTTTAGAGGTGAGAGGTATCGTCTGTTTGAGCACAACTGCAACACTTTCACCAACGAGGTGGCTCAGTTCCTGACTGGCAGGACCATTCCGTCTTACATCACAGACCTTCCATCAGAGGTCCTCTCCACGTAAGTGTTAAGCTCTGTTTTCGAAGTGGGCATGCAGTCTGTTACCAAACTTGTCTCAGTTTGACATGAATGATGATTCCTCTGGAGCAAACAAACAAATTCAATCAGGATGTACAAAGCTGATGGTTATTCTCATAGAACAAAATCAAAATGGTTTTGAAATGTCTTTTTATTAAATTTTATGTTTAGTCAGAAGCTCAGTCCCTGCTGGTACACAAGTTATACCACAGATTCATATTGGTCTGCTTCAGTGGCGGCTGGTGGAGTTTTCTCCAGGGGGGCTATAAATTCAAAATAGACGTATACCAAAAACCCATCAAACTTGTACTAAGTTATCACACCAGGATATTTAGATGAATACCAACAACAAAAAAAACATAATAAAAACAAAACATAACTTGATAAACATCTTTACATTTTGGACATAAATCTTGCCCTTCTGAGGCTTTGTGAAGACAAATCTGTGTTTTAAATGGTCCAATATGATGTCACAAACATAAAAAAACAAATGGAGAAGCATTTAGTCAGCTTTATACATATTCTTTTAATATATATATATAAACTATTTATTTTCTGACAGTATTTATGTGCAACTATGCAAATGAACAAACATCTAGAAAAAGTACACTATATTATATTATTTTCCATGTGAATCCCAGATTGTTCATTGCCTTTTCTACAAAGTGCTTTAACTCAGTCCTAGCTGTCTTAATCCATGCTGATCCTGATGATTGAAAAAGGAGGCAGCTAAAGCAGAATAAAGCTACATGCTGCTAACCAAGCCTTCTTCCTAAACCAGGTCCTGGAAAAAGACGTTTCTTGCGCCATTTCTTTCTCTCTATCTCTCCAATGCGTCTCCAACCCCCGCGTTCGACCTGTCAATCACCCACAAAACGTCTGCGCTGTGGCGGGAGGTGGTGAGCAAATACACTTCCTGTCAGCGCACCATAGCTGCGCCCCAAGCTCTCCTGTACCTTTATATTGCAGAAGACCTTCTGCGCATGTACAGCTTTTAACGAGAGTCAATGGGCAAAGATTTTTACGCCCCAGGGCGGAAATACGTCACCGATCCAACAAAAAATGTAATGTCGCTTTACTAGTCATTAAAGATTAAATATTTATCTTGCACATCTGAAAAATATGTAGAGATATATTTTATGTTTTAATTTAAAATTAAATAGAAAAAAAAACAAAACTTTTTTTTGTACGTCTTAATCATCTTATCGGGTCATTGGGAGTGGGACGGCGCCCTAGCGCCCTCTGTGGGCCAGCCGCCACTGGTCTGCTTCAATCTACAGTGAGAGGACTATATGATGTCAGGATTATGACAAAAGTGAACCATGAGCATAAATTGTGCGTCACGGGCAGCTTGGGGTTACCTATTTTCATTCACTAAAGGCTTAAATAATGCTTTAAGATTGTTTTATGCTACATGCGCACATCAAAGCATTTTTACTCCAAATTTGACCAGTTGTCCTGCCTCTATTTTTAACATATAATTATTATTAGTTTTGGCCAATGATGTCACCATCCAACCAGAGCCAGAGGCCAGTGCTGCTCTTGTTTCTGTAAAAAAAAAAAAAAAAAAAAAAAAAAAAAGGTATTGAATAACCCCCCCCCCCCTTTTTTTCTGCTTGTGATGCATAACATACACATGTGCTTCACTTTTGTCGTAATTTTGATGCCATACTACAGCAGAGGAAGAAGTAATCATACCGCTAAATTGATATAGAAAAAGAAAATGTGAATACTCATTCATCAGCAGATGGTTTCATGTGAACTAAAGCCTGAACTTTGAGAGGACGTCCCAAATCTGTTTATCTTTCTCCACATCTTACTTAACAAAGCAAGTTAAACACAAGTAGCACAGAGGTCCTCCTTTAATGAAAGGAGTAGTGGATGCAACTCAACAAAAAATTACCCTCGCTTACCCATATTCTGCTAATTGAGGTCTTAGCTTCCCTTCCACTAAACCGTTAATAAATAGGAGAAACTAGTGCTAAATGCTAAGATGACTGTTGCTCATGGTTACCAGATCGTACTGTTTCCAGCCTCAGCAAAATGTAAAAGCTGACTACTAACATTGCTTTAAGAAATCCAAATTGTTTTTACCTTTGTCTAGTATGTTAAAGTCCTCTCATATATTAAAAGATTTCATCATTTTTTATAATTGTAATTGCAACACATTTGTTACTAAGAAAAGCAGTGGAATGGGGACTTTTTTAAATATTTGATCTAAGATTGGAGCCAATTTATTAGGCCTTTTAACGGCTATATACAGTCTGAGCTTACTGCTGCATGGTTATAGCGTAGAACCACGGTCTTCTTGTTTGAAATTAGCTAATCCTGGTAGAGTCTGATAATGTTCCACTGAGTTTGATCCGCTGTCTGACATCTAAAACATGCAGAACACTTTGTTCTGACTCATGAGTCATGATTTCACTTCTTGGTTTTACCACTTTTGCTCTTCTTCCCTAGGAGGACTATATTTCTATTAATCAGCAGACCTAATTGACCTAAACAGAGATCTTTTTTTTGTGCCACAAATTTGACAAGAGCTCCCCAAAGGTCTGTAAGTTCTCCAGATGTGAGCATGTCTGTTAAAAATAGATCAACACTTATGCTCCTGGCTGCCGGCTCTGTTCAGACAGTGTGAACTGCTCTCATTTTAGCTGTAACAGTCTCTGTGGGATCTAGAAGTGCAATAGTGTAATCCTCATTTATTGGCAAGTAAAATTAGAAAAAACAGGAACGCTAATTGACAAAAGACAACATGGTTCAAGGTAAACGTTCATGATGGTGTGCAAACACATTACGTTGACATGATGGGGCTTTTTTAATCACCAAATTTCTGGGGGTTTTTTTTATGAGCCATCTGTCCTTTTTTGAGTACTTTTATGTAGAAATCGAAAAATTCTATAATTTTATTGCAGGTATTGGTCAGACTGTTGGTTTTAAATCCCAAAGATTAAAACAAGAGCAGTTTAAACTCTTGTCTGTATAAAAGAGTAATGGGTGGTCACTCACTTAAAGTACTTAACAATAGATCTTTATAAGGCTAAAAAAGGACTCTATCCTACAATTATTCTAATATTTATACTTTGTTAGCAGTCGCTTGTTTTCAGTTTTTGTCTAACTGTCATATCAAATCTCTTTCTCCCGTCTCCAGACCGTTCGGCCAAATCCTTCGACCAATCCTGGACTCCATTCACATCGCCCCTCCAGGAGGTAACGTCATCAACGGTGGAAGAAACCTCTAACCTGCTCAAAGTTCTCTAGGTTACTTTACTTGTTGTTGATCATGTTGAAATTTTGTTTCCTATTTTTGTTTCCCCTTCATTGGAAATGAAGGAACCCCTACTTAAGAAGGAAATAGTTTCGCATTGTATTAGATTTTACAGTGTATGGGTAACATGACACTAAATGCGACACCCTTTCCTAGTTCCGAGAGATATGTTGATTTTGCTGTTTCATTTTTATTCACCCATTCATAATTTGAGATCATTAAATATATTTTACCATCAGACAAAGATAACCAGAGTAAATAAAGTTTTTAAAGGATGATTTAATTTATGAAAAAAGCAATTAAGTTTGAGAAGGTAAACCTAAGTGTATTGCTGTGCCATCCTTGGAGGCACCACCTGTTTTTATTGCCATTTCTGATGAGGAGTCTTTTATGACAATCTTATTTGAAGAATTGTTTCAGCCTCAGAGAAAGGCTTTAAAGCAGATGTGTTAAACTTTATTATTCATAAAAAAGACTTGTTAAATACTAAAGTAGCTAGATTGTTAAATATAAATTGCAATGTTTTATATAATCTCCATCAAAAAATCAGATTAGTTGAAGGAGAGATCACTTTTGTTGAGATAAAATTATCATCTTCCTTTCCAAGTCACAAGGTTAGGAGAAAAGATTGGGAAGGTACGGTCCTATTTAGATGTAATGATAATGTAGTTAGTCTTTTAAAGAGTCAGGTTTGATAAAATGGGGCTTATGTCGTAATTCGTGGCTTTAGGAGTGAGTAGGCACATGGTGAGTGAGTAGGTTGGACATGTTATATTTCTCTGCTAAACCTAGATTAAATATATTTAAGTCTTATTTGAAAGTCCGTCCAGATATTCCTGCTTTATGTTCAAAGAGAAAAAGCTACCTTCCTGGGAAAAAAAGAAGCCATAAGCTGTACTAAACGCTAACTAGTTGGGGGAAATATTTAGTTTTGATTGTTCTCGGATTCCTTAACTCAAGGACTTCAAAAAAGAAGGAAAACAAAACAACAAAAGAAAAGATACCAAACCATAAAGATAGAGCATTCAAGCTAACCGGCATGTAGATGTGTTTTTACAAAATGACTGCAAAAGAGGTGACTAAAAGAGCTAGCAGGAGTAGCTTTTAAGGGGGGACCCATTATGGTGATGGAACAGCAAATAGAAATTTCATGGTTTCATTAACTGTATCATATCTAGTTATACCTGTCCAATAGCAGCCCAAGACCATCACCCTGTTAAGTTTTTAGTTCTTTATTCTAATATGAGGATGTACACCATCCAAAGGTTCCACTTTTGTCCATTAGTCCACATAATATTTACTCAAATATCTTTAGTATTATTAGTTTTTATTAAATGTGAGATGGCCCTTTCTTTTTAGTCCGCCATGGTTCTGATTCTACGGATGTGGCAGGGATGCTGCCTCAGTGTGATTGTTGAAATGGAAACAATGAAATATGAGTTAAAAAAATAACTTAATCAGAGAGCAGCAACATTTTTGCTTACTCTGGTTATCCTCGTCTGATATTAAAACATTTTAAACAATTTGAAACGTTTAGGTGGAACAAAAACGCAGAAATCTCTAAGGTAGGCAAAGACTTTTCCAAGCACTGCATATTTTATGATAAGAAATTATATTTATCAGTTAATGCAGTGAAAATATTTACACTTTAAAAAGTGTCTAATTTGCTCTCAATATAGATTTGAGAGTATAATATAATACAATCTATACCCTGTTTATTGTTGGTTTTGCACAAATGTAATGTTTATTTTCCAAGTGTTAAATTATATTTATGAATTGTATCACTGGAGTTTAACTTAAGATAAATGATGGTATTCATCATATTTGATGAACTAATTGCCGTCGATCTGAGAATGAATTCACATCAGTCACATTTCTGTGTTTGCATCTTTGTACATCTTTGTTAGACTTTGGATTTTATCCAGTCAATATTTCCTGTTTGTGTGTTGTTTTTTTTTGTGTATGTGTGTCTCCCAATATTTCCTTCTTCATACCCCATCTGTTCTGATTTACATTTTTCTGACACTCCCCAGTGTGAGAATCAAGAACTGTTTACTTTTACTTTTCAGCGTCGTTAAGCATTGATATAGTCACTATTCAAGTTGTTGCTAGATCCCACAACCAATTTATTGATTGGATTTGATCAGATCAGTTAAATATTGTCAGTTTGTGCTGCTCTTGAGGTGTGTAATGACTTTATATTATTGCTATTATTGTATTCAGAGTTTAACGTCAGCAGATTTCTCTTAAGCTGCTCTTTCAACAATAACTTAAGTCCTTTAACAGCCATCAGAGTGTGTCTGAACGACAGCACACCTCTGTGCCTTCATTCCCTGCAGCCTACAGTCTAGACTCTCTCAGCCTCCACACGGCTGTTGATGGTTAACAATGTTTTCTTATCTATCACAATCATCAATATTAATTGCAAATAAGGCAACGAGACTAGATATTTTATTGTATTTGTACTGTTTTTAGTACATTGCTGCACTAATTGCTTCCCACAGTAAAGAAATGTTAAATAAGCTCACATTGCAGCAGACTAATCTCATAATGGACAAAAATGTGAAAAATCAATAATTTTTTGTTTGTACACTTCCTAGGGGGTTGGGGGGATTGTAGTTATTGAAAATTGTGTTTTCAGACATGGTTTTTGATAGGATTTAGCACCAGGGGATGATGGTTGATTTAGGTAGAAGGTTGATTTTGTATCCAGTTGGCCCTCTCCATCTTTATTTGACCAAACATTCGTTATTATTAAAAACTAACATTAACTCTGTGTCCACTTTTTGGCAGAGGTCACCAGAGCAAACTCTTTTTTATTTAAATGATTCATAGACTTTTGGCAAGCCCACAGTGACGCAAATAATCCATGGAGCTTAGCAGTGGGTACCCGGTACTTTCCTGCATATTCAATTCACTTCAGTTTATTTATATAGCGCCAATTCACAAGACCTGTCATCTCAAGGCACTTTACAATTCAACCAGATCAAACTGATTCAAAGTTTTCTATCTAAGAAAAAACAGTTGTTTGCATCGACTTATTGACTTGAAAACAATCCCTCACACTAAGCATGTTTGTAGTCACAGCGGAGAGGAAAAACCCCAGAAACCCCAAGTAGAACCAGATTCGGTGTGCTGAGGCTTACTGGGGTTTAAGGAGACAGAAGGAGACATACAGAAAGAAGCAGAGATACAAAAGGCAACTGTAAGCCAGCTCCACAGGTGGCCCCGTCCGGAAAACACACAGCCAGACAAGCTCTGAGCCAGCTCCCATGCCAGAGGATGACAGCGTGCACATCCATACAGTAATAGTGAGAGAAACAGGATTACACTGAAAAAAAAACCAGGCCAATCTTGAACATCTATAAATAAAGGTGTTGATGGCAGCAGCACAGCTGATATTTCTCTCCAGGATGGTGTCACAGCCAAACAGTAGGAAACCAGATGATGCTACTATGCGAAAAAGCAGAGAGAGCATAGCCTTAGAGATTGAACAAATACTGCAGAGTGGGAGAATAGAGATAGAATGATGAAATGGGGTCCATGTCCTCCAGCAGTCAAAGCCTATAGCAGCATAACTATAGAGATAGCTCAGGATAACCTGAGCCCCCTCTAACTATTAAGCTTTAAAAAAAAGGAAAGTTTTAAGCTTACCTTAAAAAAGTAGACAGAGTGCTTGCTAAAAACGTGTTTTTCACACATACTGTTGTAATTTTCAAATGATTCATAGTTATATCCAATATATATATTATTAATATCCTAGTATTATTAGTTTTTATTAAATGTGAAAGAAGCTTTCTTTAGTCCGCCATGGTTCGATTCTGGATGTGGCAGGATGCTGCCTCATGGATTGTTGAAATGGAAACAATGAAATATGGGTTAGAAAAATGAACTTATATCAGAGAGCAGCAACTTTTTCTACTGGTTATCCTGTCTGACTATTAAAACATTTTACAAATTTGACGTTTAGGTGGAACAAAAACGCAGAATATCATGAAGAAAGTAGTGCAAAGACTTTTCCAAGCACTGCATATTTTATGATAAGAAATTATATTTATCAGTTAATGCAGTGAAAATATTTACACTTTAAAAAGTGTCTAATTTGCTCTCAATATAGATTTGAGAGTATAATATAATACAATCTATACCCTGTTTATTGTTGGTTTTGCACAAATGTAATGTTTATTTTCCAAGTGTTAAATTATATTTATGAATTGTATCACTGGAGTTTAACTTAAGATAAATGATGGTATTCATCATATTTGATGAACTAATTGCCGTCGATCTGAGAATGAATTCACATCAGTCACATTTCTGTGTTTGCATCTTTGTACATCTTTGTTAGACTTTGGATTTTATCCAGTCAATATTTCCTGTTTGTGTGTTGTTTTTTTTTGTGTATGTGTGTCTCCCAATATTTCCTTCTTCATACCCCATCTGTTCTGATTTACATTTTTCTGACACTCCCCAGTGTGAGAATCAAGAACTGTTTACTTTTACTTTTCAGCGTCGTTAAGCATTGATATAGTCACTATTCAAGTTGTTGCTAGATCCCACAACCAATTTATTGATTGGATTTGATCAGATCAGTTAAATATTGTCAGTTTGTGCTGCTCTTGAGGTGTGTAATGACTTTATATTATTGCTATTATTGTATTCAGAGTTTAACGTCAGCAAATTTCTCTTAAGCTGCTCTTTCAACAATAACTTAAGTCCTTTAACAGCCATCAGAGTGTGTCTGAACGACAGCACACCTCTGTGCCTTCATTCCCTGCAGCCTACAGTCTAGACTCTCTCAGCCTCCACACGGCTGTTGATGGTTAACAATGTTTTCTTATCTATCACAATCATCAATATTAATTGCAAATAAGGCAACGAGACTAGATATTTTATTGTATTTGTACTGTTTTTAGTACATCGCTGCACTAATTGCTTCCCACAGTAAAGAAATGTTAAATAAGCTCACATTGCAGCAGACTAATCTCATAATGGACAAAAATGTGAAAAATCAATAATTTTTTGTTTGTACACTTCCTAGGGGGTTGGGGGGATTGTAGTTATTGAAAATTGTGTTTTCAGACATGGTTTTTGATAGGATTTAGCACCAGGGGATGATGGTTGATTTAGGTAGAAGGTTGATTTTGTATCCAGTTGGCCCTCTCCATCTTTATTTGACCAAACATTCGTTATTATTAAAAACTAACATTAACTCTGTGTCCACTTTTTGGCAGAGGTCACCAGAGCAAACTCTTTTTTATTTAAATGATTCATAGACTTTTGGCAAGCCCACAGTGACGCAAATAATCCATGGAGCTTAGCAGTGGGTACCCGGTACTTTCCTGCATATTCAATTCACTTCAGTTTATTTATATAGCGCCAATTCACAAGACCTGTCATCTCAAGGCACTTTACAATTCAACCAGATCAAACTGATTCAAAGTTTTCTATCTAAGAAAAAACAGTTGTTTGCATCGACTTATTGACTTGAAAACAATCCCTCACACTAAGCATGTTTGTAGTCACAGCGGAGAGGAAAAACCCCAGAAACCTCAAGTAGAACCAGATTCGGTGTGCTGAGGCTTACTGGGGTTTAAGGAGACAGAAGGAGACATACAGAAAGAAGCAGAGATACAAAAGGCAACTGTAAGCCAGCTCCACAGGTGGCCCCGTCCGGAAAACACACAGCCAGACAAGCTCTGAGCCAGCTCCCATGCCAGAGGATGACAGCGTGCACATCCATACAGTAATAGTGAGAGAAACAGGATTACACTGAAAAAAAAACCAGGCCAATCTTGAACATCTATAAATAAAGGTGTTGATGGCAGCAGCACAGCTGATATTTCTCTCCAGGATGGTGTCACAGCCAAACAGTAGGAAACCAGATGATGCTACTATGCGAAAAAGCAGAGAGAGCATAGCCTTAGAGATTGAACAAATACTGCAGAGTGGGAGAATAGAGATAGAATGATGAAATGGGGTCCCTATGTCCTCCAGCAGTCAAAG